CCATTTCTGTGTAAAGCCCTTAGGAGAAATCATTCATAGTTTTGGAATCGGACACCATTAATATACTGACAACACGCAACTCTATGTCTGTGTATCCAAATCTCCTGGCGATGTGGTGGATGCCTTGAGCCACTGCCTGACTGCTTTAGTTCAGTGACTGAGAGTAAACAAATTGAAACTGAACCCTGATAACACAGAGGTAATCCTGGTCCTGAAGGACATCATGCCTCTCACTATTGAAGGGGTTCAGCTGCCGTTTAAGGTCCAAGGGGTTATACTGGATGAAGTATTACTGTTGAAGAATCAAGTTAATACTCCTGCAAAAAATGCCCTCTTCCAACCCAGTCTAGCTCAGTCAATCCATTGTCTGCCCATTAGTTACCAGGATGAATTCCAGGTATCGGCTATAACATGCAAAGCGGGCCATGGCCTTTGACCTTCATTTTTTTTGCTTTAATATTTTATTTTTGTTTTGTAAAAACGTAACAATTTCAAATATATATAACCATCATATATAACCTATAACAAGTCCAGTTTAAATTGATTAGCTCTAAATATCATACCATTCTAACACTGGGTCTCCCTATACATAAAATTAATAATTATTCTAATAATCATACAGATCGATCAACTTTACATTGACTAGAAAAATTACATGTTTGAATGATATTATTTATCCTTGAATAAACAATGTCAAATACCTTGATGGACTTATACAACCTACAATATTATTCACATATAGTTAACAATATAATGTAAGGTCTCTGTATTGCAGCCTTGAAAAGCTGGGGACTTGAAGTTTAATGGAGCCACCTACAGGCGAGTACGGGGAACATCTTTACGTGCCAGAAACGGCAGCAGGCCACCTTCATTCTTGGTAGTTGTGGATATAGACGCAGAATCCTTCTGTCTGGCAACAACAGCTTGGTGTGTATGTGAAGGTGTGTATGTGAAGTAGTCTATGTGGGTGTATGTTGGCATGTCTGCTAGGGGGAATGTAGATGAGTGCTGTATGATGGATGAATGTGATGGCGTGATTGCAATTACCGTGACCTCCAGCCGGGCTACGTATCTAGTGTCGTCCATCATAGCGGGTCACGAGGGATTTCGAGGTGCCTTGCGAGAGATTGTCAACAAGTCCCTCTCGGAGGGGCGGTTCCCTGAGGCACTCAAGGAAACGATGGTCCGCCCTCTCTTGAATAAACCATCTTTGGACCTGGTCGAATTGGCCAACTATCAGCCGGTGTCCAACTTGCCCTATTTGGGCAAACTTATTGATAGGGCAGTGGCGTTACAGCTACAGAGCTTTCTGGATGATGCTTCTGTCCTCAATCCCTTCCAGTCCAGCTTCCGCCCGGTTCATGGGACGGAGATGGTACTGGCCGCCCTGACTGACGACCTCCATAGGCATCTGGATCAAGGTGGTGTGGCGGCACTGGTGCTGTTAGATCTGCCGGCCACGTTCGATACGGTCGACCACCAGCTGCTGGCCCACCACCTCGCCGACTTGGGGATTCAGGGGTTTGCCCTTCAATGGTTTGCCTCTTTTCTCCAAGGTCAGGGACAAAGGGTGGCGATAGGGGATCAGTGGTCTCGGAGACATCCTCTTGAATGTGGGGTGCCTCAGGGGGCAGTGCTGTCCCTGATGTTGTTCAACATCTACATGCGCCCCTTGCCCAGATTGCCTGGAGTTGTGGGCTTGGGTGTCATCAATATGCAGATGACACCTAGCTCTATCTGATGCTGGGCGGCCATTTTGTTTGTTAGATGTCTCCTCATTGCACTGACTTACACGGTGTAATCCTCCTTGAGTCTCAGTGAGAAAGGTAGGCTATGAATAAACACTATGAGAGCAAGAATTTTGCTCTGTAAATTCGATACATCACAGAATTCATGTAAATAAACTGCCAACCCAGATTATAGGACCTTAATATATAGTGACCAAAATCTGGGGGAGTGGGAAATATTTGGGAGGGGGCCCTCAGAGTCATCTTGGAGCAAATACCTTTATTTAATAATTCTAACCAACCTCATCGAACTGTCAAAGCAGCATACAACAAGCCATACTCAAAAACTAAAACACACATTCAAATTAATACTAACAATATAAGCGTTCATATGCCCAGATTTCAAAAAAGAACCTTTATTGTACAGTCAACATATCTTTAAAATACAATTGTTGAACACAACAGCAAATAGTATAATTTTGGTTAACTGAGTTATTTTGCCATCTGGGGCTGTCTTAATGGCTATATTTCAAAAATTGCCACTTTTTCTGTGGTGTGTACATTCTGCCCAGTAGAAAGAGCAACTACTTGTTCTGCTGAGTGGGCTGGTATCTTAGTCAGAAGTGGAACAGTTATATTATCCCTAACCCCTTAATAATAATTACAAGACAGAGACACATGGGGTACAGTTTTCAGCACTCCTGCACCACCAGGCCATGGTTGTTTAAAAGCATTTGATTACTATGCCCTCAAATACTAGTGGTGATGGCAAAACATTACTATGTGCTAATGTAAAAGCTCTCCTACCTTTTGGGATATTTGCAGTTGATATGCTCAAACAAATTCTAATAGATCACAAAAAATATTATAGGCCTGACCTGGATAGCCCAGGCGAATCCGATCTCGTCAGATCTCGGAAGCTAAGCAGGGCTGACTCTGGCAAGTACTTGGACAGGAGACCTCCTTGAAATATCAGAGTGTTGGATCCCCAAGCATCGAGAATAAATCCACGTTTTAAGAAAAGCAAAATTTATTTCAAAGCGTTGACGACATACTCAAACACGTTCTTTGTTAGAACTGGGGATACACAGTTAGATCAAGCATAATAAAGGAACTTCAAAGAGATACAGGTCCAATGAAAAACTTTCCCGCTGGCGGGCTAATGGAACGGTTGCGCGCCCAGTCCATGGGAACCAGGCAGGATATTAGACATAACACAGGTGCAGTAGTCATGGGAAAAGCAATAGCCAAGCATTACAGCATCTTCTCCCCCACACAACCTCCAGCAGTTATCTTTTGCATTCCAACGCAGGAGCAGGATGATAGAAACCAAGCCGGGTGCAACAGGGAAAGAATATGTACACAGAGGTCACAGAAAACCGGCCGCATTTGATACCGTCGACCACCAGATGCTGTCCCGCCGCCTTGCCAAAGCAGGGATTCAGGGGCTCACCCAGCGCTTGTTGTGTGTGCCTGACCCGGCCTTCACCACCTCCATCCCCGTTCCTGCTTTAAGGCTGGGGGTCAGTCCGGCAATTCCACCTGGCCTGGCTCGGGGCCCTGCTTGGAGGCCGGCACAGGAAGAGCCCGGGGCGGCGCTGGCAGGCAGAGCACAGGCACCCTGGGTCGCACCGGCCAGCAGAAGAAGGTGGCGGGGTGGCGAGGGCAGACGTGCCAGAAATCCCCCCTGCCGGCTGGCCAGAGGCGCAGGGGCGAGAGGGTGGCCTGCGATTGTGAAGCGAAGCGCCGCCAGCAACTACAGGCAGGACCGGCTCCAGACTGCTCCCCACGGCGCCTTTGGCTCCCCTTGGGCAAGTGGGTCTCCCTCCCAGAAAGGTGGGCGGTGGCTCGCGATTTACTACCCTGTTTAGGCGAGGGAGGGGTGGCAGGCCGCTGCCTAAAATTGTCTATGATGGGCCGGCCCTGCCTCTGGACTTCCTCTGGCAATCCATTACAAAGCTTTGGTGACATCAGAGAAAGTGCGTGTCCTCGCTGACCTGGAGGGTAGAGTCAGCAGGTCCTGACCTGTGGAGAAGACCTGTGCTGTTGCTGGGCTTGTATAGGGAGACGCAGGCCTTTAGAATGTGGCTCCCAAGTAGTCCACCCCAAAAGTTCCAGAAGCACCAATCAGAGTTGTCAAGTTGACTGAATCTAGAAATGAGGAGCGTTTGCAAACTAAATGCAAAGCAACAGTCTCTATGCCATGTGTTAATTGGTATGCTTCACAAATGAAGTAAGTAAATACATTTCTGTTGACTCCATAAACACAGCAGGGAAATCATGTTTGCAGTGTTTTACGAAAAACTAAATAAGCAGTAAAAAACAAACTGGATATAGCTGGTAGAACGCTTTTCTGACAAACGCCTACTCTCAATGCCTAGAAATCCCCAGACCTTTTTTCCCTCCTCCGCACAACATATGCCAAGCGTGCGCTCTTAACCCATTGATTTCCACACCACTCAGCATTGCCCTGGAGCAGCTCTGCCTCTCTCAAGCAGGGGATACGCTCGCGCAATCTCTTTCCTCCCTCTCCCACTGGGGTCTAAAAGTAACAACTCTAAAGAATAAAGTTTGAGTCCAGGAACAGAACCTCCTCATCCATTACTTATAGGGGGTGAGGTGGAGGTTGCTGTCAGGAAGGGCCACTTAGAGTCAAGATGCATAAGCCCTAGCTGAAGAAGTGAGCAGTGACTCACGAAAGCGCCTGCCCTGCCGCAAATTTTGTTAGTCCTTAAGGTGTTTTTGTTGTTCAGTCGCACAGTCGAGTCCGACTCTTCGCGACCACATCACGCCAAGCCCTCCTGTCTTCCGTCGAGCTCCGGAGTTTGCTTAATTTCATGCTTAAGGTACTACTGGACTCTTACTCTCTTCTACCGCTAGAGACGGCTACCCATCTCGATCGAACTCTAAAGAAGTAAACTTCCGAAGAAGTGCCTTTCGCGGGTCCTGGCAGATATCTACCTCAGAAGACTCTGAAGCTGGCGGTCCGCCCCTTCCCGCGTACAGGAATCGCCTCTCTGCAAGAGCGGAAAGCCGGCTCTGAGTTTGTTTTGCCGAGGAAAGGAACCTATTTTTTTCCTGCAAGAAAATCGTTAGCTATGGAGCTGCTAGGACCGCCCAAGAGACTGGGTTAACCCTTTCCCACCCGGGCTGCAAGGGAACGTATCCTCTCTGTACGACAAGCGCGTCGGGGGCGGTAGTGGCGACAGTGGAGGGGTTAAAGGGGCGGGGCCAGAGCATGCGGGGGCGAGTTGTTAGCCTGGGTGTCCTTATTTCATCCCCGCAGGCGGAGGTGGCAGGAGCCGGTTATAGGATTCAGCCCCGGCCATGCGGAGCAGGAGCAACTCCGGCGTGCGGCTGGACGGTTACGCCCGGCTGGTGCAACAGACCATCCTGTGCCACCAGGTGGGCGAATGCGCCATCCGTTGGATACCTGCCTGTCTGTCCGCGTGGGGGAGGTCATCTGGGGTAGCTGCCTGCTTGGGGCTTGGTCGGTACCCCCTCCCCCTTCTGATTCTTCCCCCTCGGAGACCTGGAAAAGACGCTTCGGGTGGGAAAGTGTCGTTTCCGGGCGTTACTGGACCGGGCTCCTTCGCCTGCAGCTCCCGAACGGCTTGTCGCTCACTCCGTCCTTCGTCTGCCTCCCTGCTTGAAGCTCTTGGGTCCTCTGGGGACTACGGAGCACAAGAGCCCGCAGGAAAGGCGTCAAGCAGTCTCGGTTCCTTACAGGAGAGCTCCGCGAGGGCTCCAGGTCTCTGAGGGCCAAGCGAGGCGCTGTACGAGGCAAACACTCGGTCTTGCTTCTTGGCACTGAGCCCCGGCCTCGTAGGCGCTTTTGCAGACCCAGATCGCCTTCGCTAGGCTTGGGCAAGATGCGGGTCCTGCCGTGTAACCTAGGCGGGAATTCTTTCTTGCCAAACTGGTGCGCAAGTTACTATTAATATCTGGTAATAGTCCCACACCTACACCGGCCATTCTCTCGGATGGCTCGTTTTTAGAAGTTGGGCTATGCAACTCCCCCCCCCACCTCCGGTCTGTTTGTCATTCCTCTTTTGGAAAAGGGGAAGCATGGAGTATTCCTGATGGAGCACGAACCCGATCTCATGCATGGCCCCGGAATGCCTTCGCTGCACATATGAGTGACCTTCATAAATGTGCTAGTTATAAGAGAACTAAAGGAGCAAGTGCGGGAGCGAGAGGGAAACAGGAAGAAATCCAAGAGGTCAGAGAGGTGTGCTTCAGGGAAGGCTTTGATACAAAGACTCCATCTAAGGAGGATACTAAGGCCTGACAAAGACTCCATCTAAGGAGGATGCTAAGGCCTGCTTCGGAGCTGGCTCCCCTTGCTCTTCCAGTGTTGGGTTTTTAAGCTATTCAGCAAGCACTGAAGTCAGCAAGCACGTGAAGGGGATCTTCTTATGTGTACCTGATATTCATTATTATTATTTCCTGGGAAAGTGCTTCCTTTGCTATAGTCATGTATTACATTGGTGGTGACATTCAAACTTCAAATCCAATGCAGCTTTATTGGCTTGTTTGTGGTTATGCAGCATTTCACAAACGAAAGCCATTTGGGAGTAGTAGTTGAGCACTGATCTGCAGGTAGATTCAAGTGGTGCCTGTCAGGCAGTTGATATATTTCACCAGAATTCCAAATTCTCCCATGTATGTGGACTGACTTGGACAATAGTGACCTAGGCAGAGCAGTGCTCTGACCTGGTATAAAGTGGTTGTCCATAAATGCTTTGTTGGAGTTTGTTACCTGCCTTCTTCTACCATTGAAGCTAAGTGGTATACTTCTGTGGCACTGCCACAGGAAGTGGTAGCGGCTACAAGCATGGACGGCTTCAAAAGGGAATTAGATAAGCATATGGAGCAGAGGTCCATCAGTGGCTATTAGCCACAAGGTATAGATAGGGACTCTGGGGCAAGTGATGCTCTGTCATCTTGGTGCTTGTGGGGACAACAGTGGGAGGGCTTCTAATGTCCTGGCCCCACTGGTGGACCTCCTGATGGCACTGGTATTTCTGGCCACTGTGGGATACAGAGTGTTGGACTGGATGGACCTTTGGCCTGATCCAACATTGACATATTTTATGTTCTTATGTTCTTATGACTGAAGAGGTGTGTGTACGTGCACATGTGCATGTAATAAAAAAAACCTGCTTCCATCCGATTTTACTTTGCCCGCCCCTGTCCCCAATACTGCCATGATGCTCACTGTGTAGCCTTGGGCCAGTCCCAGATTCTCAACCTCACTTACCTTCCAGGGTTGTGGGGAAAGAATGGGGACAGGAGAACTATATATATCACCTTGAACTCCTTGGAGGAACAGTGAGATAAAAGCAGATAAATGGGGCCGGCAGCACACAGCAGTGAACAATATAACAACTTAAGTATGTAGGTCATTCCTATACTGATGAATTTTGGCACTGCCTAATCCACAAGCTACAGCGAGGCAAAGCCCCCCCTTTCCTACCAATGTCTGCCTGTCTGTAAAAAAGGATACTGGTGCTTTCATCTTGCCCTCTGCAGAGGCTGTGGCTTCTGGCCTTCTCTTTCCAAGAGGGGCCTGTCCCAACCTGTATCCCCAAACTCCTGACTTGAAGTTCAGACCAGGCTGAGGGAATGGAGGAGCTGGGGATTCTCAGCTTCCGGCAAGACCAAGAGAAAGGAGCGTCTGACTGGGCATTTATGTAAGAAAAGCCAAAGCTGCTGTTTACAGCCAGGAATGTAGCACCCTCCCCCCCCCCCCGTTGCAAACTCAATGTGCTTGGCTTGCTGTCGGTTCCTGTGAGCAACATACGTGGTTCCTCCTGGCTGAGATCCACACAAAGATCATGATCTGCCTCTGCATGCTGGTAAAGCAGAGAGGGGCTCTTGCAAAGGGGAGGGGGGTTGTTCCAGAGCAGTCCCCTGCTGCTTGGCAGGAGGGTCAGTGAAGGGAACAAAGACAGTGCTGGCATGGTTTTAGGTTTAATTATCTTTTCACTCACATTGGGCATATCTGATGCTTGCCTGGCCTGTATTATCTGCTTGGCAAGCATTTGGGATCCCAGTATGAAACAGAAGAGAATTCTCCTCTAATAGAAATTGGTCCCCTCCTGTCTGCGTACACTCAAAACCTCAAATGTTCTTGCCTTGCTTACAGAACCATTACCATTTATGTTGAGTTAATGAAGTGATATTTGTAGGGTTCTCCCCCCCCCCCCGATTTTCTCCCTCCATCTAGGAAATTTGTCTCCTATCTATTCCCGCCCTCATCTAGGATTATCTAGGAAATAGTCCCTGCTGATACCAGTCTTGTGTGGGCCACTGATGTATCTTAAATTTGCAAGAGGGACTCCTCATGATCTCTTGTCCAGGAGTGACTGATTTCTATTCAGTTATCCTAAATTTGCTCTTTTTCTTAAGAACACAAAAAACAACTGGCTGAGTCACACCAAGATCCATCTGGTCCAGCTTTCTTTGTAAGAGTCCAAAAAGTCAGAACACCGTGATCCACCAGAAACTGGCTGCTGAATTGTAAGCTTTCCCTGACCTGCTGCTGGTCCACTGGGACTGGCAATGGGTCACCGCACTTCCCTGCCTCCTTAGCGTGACTGTGGCATGGAAGAGACTTCCCCAGCTCCCTTGCCAGGCACATAACTAGCCTTTTTGTGATGCAGTTGGCTTAAAGGTACTCAGGGTAAACCCATCAATGCAGGGTGTCCTGGCTGTTGTAAACGCCTCCACAGTCAAAGTGTTGCAGACTTACTTTTTCAACAACAATTTATTAGTACAGTCATTGACCAAATATGTAAAAGAACCAAAAAGACATCAGCCAGTAAAACAGTAAAATGCATACAGACGCTATCCAGAATATCAAACATTAAAATGTTAGGAATAAAATTAAAATATTATTAGATAATTAAAAAACTCTATTTAAGTACAACATTCACTATCTAAGACTTTTTCTTTGTAATGAAAGCTAAACATTCAGAGGAGATGCTTGGAAATTAGATAATTAAAAAACTCTATTTAAGTTCAACATTCACTATCTAAGACTTACTTTTTCTTTGTAATGGAAGCTAAACATTCAGAGGAGATGCTTGGGATAGCCCGAGGGGAACAATCCTGCCTCTGCAGCTGCAGCCCAGGTTGTAGGATGCCCTTAGAACCTCTGTGGCCATCTGGAAACCTCAGCTTGCTAGTGTTGCTGTGAGGCTGTATGTCTTTGAAAGCCATGGTCTCTCTCTCTCTCCCTCCCTCCCTCCCTGCAGAATCCAGTGACAGGGTTGCTTCCAGCCAGCTGTGACCACAAGGATGCCTGGGTCCGGGATAATGTCTACAGCGTCCTGGCAGTTTGGGCACTGGGTTTGGCGTATCGTAAGAATGCAGACCGTGATGAGGACAAGGCAAAGGCCTATGAACTGGAGCAGGTAGGGCTGGGATGGGCTTCTTGCAGTTTGCCCTTTGGCAAGAAGTAGTCGAAGTTCTGCAGGGGGAGGTGATGTTGTATTGATTGCCCTGTGCAGGATGTGTTTGCGCAGAACGGTGCCATTGCAAAGAATTCCCTGGTACTGAGAGATGTCAGCAACATTCCAACATCTTGTTTTATTTGTTTGCTTCATTTATACCCTTCCTTTCTCCTTAGTGTGGACCCAAAGTGGTTTATATTGTTCTCTTCTCTATTTTATCCTTGCAACAACCCTGTGAGGTAGATCTTCTCATATATTTTTTCCTCCAGTGCCCTTTTCGGGGGGAGGGTTGAGTTGGAATGTTATCTTCTGATCAGGAATGCTTGTTTACCTGAGTTGCCCTGTGCAAAAGTTTCAACAGCCAGCCGTTCAGAAGAAGAAAGTACTTGTCCTAACCACTGTGATCACAGGAATTGCCATCTCTGTGTCTTTTTGTCCACACAAGGGTGTGCCCTGTCATGGTTTACTTGCAGTTAGGAGTACCTGTATGAGGCAGGCCTTGACAGGTGTCTGACTCTAGAATAATCTCCCTGAGCAATTGGATGAGAGCAAAACACCTCACTGGGTTCAAGTGATAGTTGGATAGGGAAATCTTGGCATTACTGTTCCAGTGCCTCCGTTGGAAGGCAGAAAGGCACCCCCCACCTGCTTTGGACTGTATTTTTTTCTTTTAACTTCTTGCGCTTGTGGCTGCTCCCATGGGAGACAGTATGTGGGCTGCTTATTTTGGTGCTTTGGACTGTATTTTTTTCTTTTAACTTTGCTTCTTGTGCTTGTGGCTGCTCCCATTGGAGACAGTATGTGGGTTGCTTATTTTGGTGTAGTGGTAAAGAGTGGCGGACTCTAATCTGGAGAATCAGGTTTGATTCCTCAGTCTTCCACATGCAGCCAGCTGGGTGACTTTGGGTCAGTCACAGTTCTCTCAGAGCTCTCTCAGCTCCACCTACCTCATAGTGGGTGTCTGTTGTGGGGAGAGGAAGGGAAGGAGATTGTAAGACGCTCTGAGACGCCAAGTGAAGGGTGGGGTATGGATCCAACTCCTCCTCCTCCTCCATATTTTTATGCCACCTTTCCTCCTGATCAGGGCCCACAAGGCAGTATGCATAAAAACATTTAAAAAATTAGGAATACATAAATGATAAAATGATAAAATAATTCAAACACCTAAACAAACAACACTCGAGGGAGGGCCAGTGCCTGTTTTTGGGGGTATGCCAGGTGGAACAAAAAGGTCTTTACCTGCTGGTGAAAGACACTGATAGAGGGAGACAGACAAACCTCCCTGGGGAGGGAATTCCAAAGTAATTTTCATCCAGTGTTCTCTGGTACAAGGAAGGGATTATGCAGGAGTGGCATGAATTGGCGTAATGACCTCTCTCTCCTGCTTGCAGGGACAAGTACGTACTTCTGGTGTGCAGGCAGGAGTCCCTTGACCAGACCTGCACCCTGGGGATGTGGCAGACACTCTGCCCCAGCAAAGGCCTTTGGGCCCTCAGATTGCCAGAATTATCAAGTGCCCTGGACATTACCCTTTCTTCCACAACAACTGTAGCTGGCCTGCCCTGGGCTGTTGTAGCCCAGCAAGTAAATGCCATAGAGAGCGTGAGCCCCAGCTCTGGTTACAGCCTGGGCCTTGCAAAAGGTCACCGGCAAGCTGCCTTTGCTGAGCAAGCGCTCCAGCCCTCTGGAATGTTTGCAAGCGGCTCTTCTCCCTTTCCTCTCTGCAGAGCGTGGTGAAGCTGATGCGAGGCGTCTTGCAATGCATGATGAGGCAGGTACGGTCTTAAATCTCCACCTGTTTTATGGGGACGATGGGGGCGTCTCCAGCACTCACGACCTGGCTGAGCAAAGTTCCTTCCCCATGTACAATCTGGCAGGCTTTTGTTCTGATCCTTTTGGATCCTGGGATGGTGGTCTGGCAAAAATGATGCCCTCTTCTTGGCTGCTCAAGGGCTTTTGTGCCTGCTGCTGCTGCGTCAGCCACACTCATGTACAAAAGAACACCTGTGGCGTAATGTTGTCTGCCTGAGACATTCTCTTTGGAGGCTGTGTCCAGGTATCTCAGTCTGCAGCATCACGGTCTTGGAAACTGGCCCTTCATTAACCAGAATCCCAGTCTATCAGATTTTACTCTATGGAGGTTTTTCTGCCCTCTTCTGGGCATGGAACAGGGGTCACTGGGGGTGTGGGGTGGTATTTGTGAATTTCCTGCATTGTGCAGGGGGTTGGACTAGATGACCCTGGAGATCTCTTCCAACTCTATGATTTGAAGCCTCAAGCTGTGCACTTGCTGATCTTCACCTTGGTAACTGATGCAAGAAGCACGGTTGACTAAGGGCTGCCTCCTGGTGGAGCTGCCTTGTGCCATTCTGTCCTGTCCCACCCACTTCTCCTTCCTTGGGCCACCCTTGAAGGGAAAGTTCACCAGTACGTTTTGCAATGGGATCTTTCAGGTGGACAAAGTGGAGGTTTTCAAGTACACCCAGAGCACCAAGGACTGCCTGCACGCCAAGTACAACACCAGCACCTGTGCCACTGTGGTAGGTGACGACCAGTGGGGTCACCTGCAGCTGGATGCCACTTCCCTGTTTTTGCTCATGTTGGCTCAGATGACAGCCTCAGGTAAGGCATCCTTGTCATTCAGTCTGCAGTGCAGCTGAGACTGAGCTCAGTTGACTTTTTTTCCCCTTGGTCAGGTGGGGTTTTCATCCCCCTGTGGCTGGAGAGATGTGTTGCCATCACAGATGCCTTTGTACATAATTCTGAGAGTTTTCTCTTCTCTCCTTCTCTTTCAGGGCTTCACATCATCCACAGCCTGGATGAAGTCAATTTTGTACAGAACCTCGTCTTCTACATTGAAGCAGCTTACAAGACTGCTGTGAGTCCTCTTCTATGAATGGCTTGGGTTGGCACAAGCTTTTCTGAAGGTTGTAACTGGTGGTACTGTGCGGTTGCAGGGTGACAGCTGGTGCAGTTTGGGTCCCAGGCAGGGCTGTGTTCATTCTTACACCTGCAGGTATATTGGCCAAATGAGGAATTGGTTAGTTGGTGATGGAATGTTGGCATGATGAGTCGAAACTTTTCTTTTTTTTGACAAAATCAAGATTGTAGCCCCCATGGCTGGGGGGGGGGGGCAGGGAGACATGGTATGTGTCTGATGGAATCCCAGGTTTGATCTCAGTCTCTTTGCCATTCTCAAGTATGGTGAACTTTTCAAGGCAAACTCAGGATTTGTGGCTGTGCTTGCTTTGCAAAGTGGCATTGAGAGCGCAGGATTTGTGTGTGTGTTGGGTTTCTGTCTGTAGGCTTGGCTGTGATCACGGCTGTGAGTACAATGTGGGAAGGCTGGAAAAATGCCCCCAGGTCTGTAAACTCCCCCAAATCTCTGTTTCAGAGGGCAGAGCAGCTGCATGCTGGATCTGGTGGTAGCACCTGCTTGCTGTCACTGTGCTGCCAAGATGCATCTCCTCTATGTGGACGGGTTCCAGAGCAGATGTGGTGACAGATTTAGCCTTGCAGATAGGCAGGGGGTGGCCAAATGATCACTTGTGATTGCCCACCCATCGCCTTTGCTTGCTGCCCCCAATGGGGTGCTGTCCTGGCTCTTAAATCCTGGGGCTGGGACCCTTTGTTGCCTGGCTGCCTTGTTCTTTGCACCCACAAGGCAAGAGCAGCCTGGCATT